GAGAGACCGAGTCATAGTGGGGGTGGACGTGGCAGTTGGAGTGAGAGTGAGAACAAGAGAGGTGGAAAGAGCAGTAGGCAGAATCATTTGCTTGCGACATGTCGAAGCACGCACGTACGATACATTGCCAGCATGTTCGATTAAGTCATGAGGTTGCATCAATATTTCAAAAAACCGATGGCGATGTTTTTGCAGTAAGCCGTATGCATTTATTTCCGATCTCTGTCGCACCCTTTGGAGCAAAGTTCTCTAGATAACTGTTGGTGATTTTGAGAAAATTCCCACTCGTGGTTTTGTGCTTCTGGCCAAATAGCTCTACAAATATTTGCAGTTTACCACAGCAGCTTTGTATGTGTATGACACTTTAACAAGCCAGCACATTTCCATGGTGATGATAGCAAACGGTTCGCACCACACCCGCCGTTATACCGCTCCGCCGCGCTAACTCTTTTTCTATTCTTATTCGACGAAGTTCACTCGCTTCTCCTTGACCATCCGTAGAGGCACTTATGAGAGTGACAAAACTTCAGGTCTGTATTTCTCCGACCCCGGCAACACGGCTCTGCACACGGTGACACTGTCCTCGGCCGCGGCGTGGTTTACCCGCAGCCGGCGTCGAATTAGATGCGTGTCGAATTTCGTCGTTGTCGCCGTTGGGACCTATCCATTCCAAAAAACATCCAGCGGCAGCAAACTAGCCTGCAATTTCAAATTGGATTAGAGAAATTCAATTCTGCGCTTTGAAAGCAAATAAGGCAGTCAGTTGCTGACGCTATGTGGCACCGCCTACACCTTACCCTGGCAGGGAGGGCGCGCACGGCGAAGAATGGAACCCGTATCTCTGGTTTCCTACAATCCACTGGCATCCAATTTCACATGTGCGGTTCCAGGCGTGAGGTGCAGCACACAGGGTCCCTTCGCTCCAGCTCAAGACCAGACTGGACAAAATAATGAACTTAAGACCAGTTGTTTGTTTGACATCACGTCGGTCTTCAGCTCAACCACGTATCTTGACCATCAATGTGCAGATGTGCAAACTTTGGGCGCCCAACGTTGCCGTCAGTGTAACCCGTGAAGGACGACAGGCACCGGTCGATTAACAGGCATTCGTCGCTCAGATATTATTTTGGGATTGCAGAGCAGTGCCTGAGTGACTAGGTTTAAGATCTAAATTAATAGTTTCGATGTCACGATCGCGCCCGGTCACTCGATACCGACCCTTCGTCCCTCGGTGTGCCGCTTAATGTGATCCGCCATTGTTCAAATTCGACTTCCGACCGATCTAGAATATCCGACATTTTTAAGGAAAATTCTAACGACAATGAACTAGCCTTCAGTTTCAAATCGGATTGTAGAAATTCAAATCTGCGCTTCGAAACCAAATGAGGCTAAATGCCAAATAAAATTACCATGCATCCAATGTGCGGTGAATAAGTTATTGACCACTGATTACAAAATATAGGTTTTGAGCTTTCCGGTGTGCTTTTACCACATCTCATGCTATACCAATGGTGTTCGCTAGAGCAAGTTGAAAAATACGATTCTTGACGTCATCGCGTATTTTCATCTTTCAGTCCCTCATTAATACGTTATGTGGTCCTAAAACTTGCAAATTGTGGGCGATAAATAGCCCTCAAATGAAGTGTTTTGTGAAATTTAAAAGGATGCTGTGTTACCATGCGGTCGAGTGATTCTTTTGTTGGTCATTCGATTGTTGTCGATTGCCACGATTATTGTTATGGAGTGGCACTTTTGTCTTTTATGTATACATATAATATAATATAATATAGTGCATACCTGTATATATATATATATATATATATATATATATATATATATATATATATATATATATAGATATAGTGCGTCCTTATGCTAATCCACCATGGTCACGTCCCTTGCCGTTCGTCCGTGCATTTGTTCCCAAAAATGCACGGACGAACGGCAAGGGACGTGACCATGTATGTATGGAGTTACCATACAATTATGGCAGCTCCCTGACATAATTGCAGACCAGAGGGACCCGAACGGGTCGAAATTCTGCGGTAATCCCGAGATATCGCCCCCCGCCGTGATACATTGCGTGACCATACGCAGTATATCACGGCGTATGGTTACGCAATCTTGGCATGCAAAAAAAACACAATCTTTGTTGTTGCTTTTTGTCCATACCTCCCTGGCACACAATCTGCCGGTCAATGGCATCTAACTGCCGCGTATTTTTTTTGGTTCGGGATCCGTATATTTTTCGCATATTGGGAAAAAGATACTTGATCAGCAACATACTTTCATCGCACTCTGGCCAATGTTTGACCAAAGCGCGATGAAGGTATGAGTGGGGCGTTACGCCCTCCACATCACCGAGTTACATTCTGTGCGCTCTGACAATGCGGCGCCCGCTGCAGCATGGCGGCCGCGGTGGGCGGCGGCCGGCGGCGCCGGTGCGCCGAGGCCTCTGGCTGCGAGCGGGCCGGCTCGGCCTCCGCCGGCGGCCTGCTCGCACCTATAACATATTGACCATGCGCTTCTGGCATGCAACAAAGTATTTTCGGCGGATTTTAAGGCTTAACAATCAACCCCCGGTGCCTGGGGGTTGATTGTTGAGCCTTACAATCAACTAGGTATCAGGTTCCTAGTGTTTAGTAGGTCTGCATCAACGGCTGCCGTCCCTGGCCCATTTTGCTTATGACACGTCGAAATTAACATTTTTACCATATACACTGTTACCTACATCTGTTGGCGTCCAGGATATGTATACATATAATATATATATATATATATATATATATATATATATATATATATATATATATGATGCCTTCTGTGCTCTTTAAACCGCGCCTTTAGCTGCCTTACTAACAGACCAGGAGCAAATATACCCATTCTGTCTGCTCAAGCACTGTTGACACGTTGCATCTCCGGATCAGCACAAGTTTTGCCCAAGTGACCGCGCATCACCAGCTAACATCCTTTTTGAAACACGTTTGCGACTCCATTGCTAACAAAACCCAAACAGGCTCGATGCACTTGGATAGCGTCCCTCAGTTGCTGAAGGACGTGGAGTCCCAGCAGCTCGAGCATCAAGCTGCTTGTAAACAATGGCTATGCATGCTTGTAAACAATGGCTGGTTGTAAACAGCGGCTACCCCCGTTTTCAACCGATGGAAGGGTTACCAGCTGCATGGCGTACATACCGCCGCCAGAAGACTGCAGACGTGTTTAAGACAGGTTAGGCGTAAACGACTCGAATCCGGCACAGAATGGTCGCGTCTATTTTGTTCGAAAATATGCATGCGTACGTGCTTATTGCGCGGTTGTACACTATCGCCGCATCGTAAACATCACTTCGTGCATGTAGCTAGGTGGGGGTTCTTCCTTAGCCAAGAGACTGCTGTTTAATGCGATCAACGACCAATGCCTTGTTAATCCCAAGTTATGACACCAGTAAGTCGGCGCCGCTCAGTAGCATCTTATGCAACTTTGACACGTCTGTGCGTGCCATGAACAGCGGTTGATTGACCGCCAGGGTCTGGGGAGAAGGAGCGTCAAGTAAGCTAGGAGGTGTATGAACGGGGGGAGGGGGGGAGGGAGATCTACGCTTCGAATTTCACTATTTCCGTGCACAACTATCGGGTAAGAGTCTATTACAGAGGAAATGACGCTCTTGGCCCATCCCTCTCCTGCGAGCTCGCACGGCCAGACCGCCGGCCTAACACTAATCCACAATTAAACCGCACGTCCTTCAAAGCCACTCACAACGCCCGCATGAGTACGCCGAGGATAACGACGTCCAAAGCCCCTTCAGTCATGCCGATATAATGGCTGGCGTAAGCCAGATTTCCACTGGCGTCCGTTCATCCCGTGGTGAGGCCGGGACAGCAGGCGTCGGATCTCTTCAGCCGCACGAGTCGCGTGACTAGCTTGCACGTCACTAACAGCACGCTTAAGAAAATCGTCCGCATACATCGGCGCTCTTTGATGACACCTGTGCTGGCACGTGTCACCGTTTAGATTCCTATACCGGTATGCTATCGTCATGGACGATCTTGTAGCCGTCTCAACTGGTCAACATGGATACCTGTTACTCCACAGAGAAAATTGCGGTGCCTCTTGTCGCTGAGCGTCGGCAGCGCCAGGCACAACATCACGTGCTTTCAAGTCTTTCGGCAAACTTGCGTGTGAAAAACTGTATAAACGTACGCAACTAACAATTCGTGGCTGAAATAAAATGCGTCAACCCAAGCGTGTTTTCGAAAGGGTAATCGCAGACGGAAAAGGAGGGCTTGGTGCCCACGTTTGAATAAGAAAGTGCTCAGTGTTCGAAATACTTAAGTACGTCAAAAATACAAGTGTAGCTTAGCTATACCGCATAGCTACGTACAACTACGATAGGCCTATTCGCGCTGTTTTAATAAGGCGACACTGCATTAACCCTTACTTCGCCGTTTTTCACAACGCGGACCGATGGCTGGGGTTGATGCGCCCATTCCTCCTCCCCCCCCCCCCCTGCCGTTTCTAAACTAAGAAAGGCCAAAACCTGCACGCTCTCATGAAAATGGAGGTGGATGACCTCACACCATCAGCGACCGTCCGCCAGGCTTTCTCCCCTGGGGGAGGGGGGAAGGGGTCAACACCTACCAGTACGGAGCTCAGACGCGACTCGTCCGAGCCCGGGGAGGAGACTTACCCAAACCCGGGGACGCTCTGGAGGCTCTGCCAAACATGAGGACGTGGAGGACATTCACCCGAACCTGAGGACACGGAGGACATTCACCCGAACCTGAGGATGCGGAAGACATTCACTGAACCTGAGGACGAGGAGGAGATTCACCCGTACCTGAAGACACGGAAGACATTCACTGAACCTGAGGAAGAGGAGGAGATTCACCCGTACCTGAAGACACGGAAGACATTCACTGAACCTGAGGACAAGAAGATTCACCCGTACCTGAGGATACAGAGGAGGCTCACCCGAACCTGAGGACACAGAGGAGGCTCACCCGAACTGATAGCCGTCATCGGTTTGCACGTTCTCGTAACTGATGATGGTGGCGTCGCGATCCTCGCCGTCGTAGCCGACGGGAGTCAGCTGGGTGCCGGCAGAGCCAAACGGCGAGCGGCGCTGCTTAACTCCGGCCTCCGCCACCAGGCGGCAGCACAGCACGCCCAACACCTGCCGACACGGCAGTGCGAAGTCAAGGGATAATCTTATATTTGTTTGTCAGCAGAGATGGCTGCTAGGTCATTGGAGTTGCGAACGCTCGGCGTTAAGCGTGTTGCGTGCCAATGAAATACTTGCGCAATGCGCGGGATTCGAACTTGCCTTACGCGGCGCGAGGCTCAAATCGTTCAGCTCAGTTCGTTTATTATGGGGGGGGGGGCTTCCGCGTAGTGGTTATTCTGTATCCATTCAATTTTATATAGGAACGTTGAAACATAAAACTATGCGAGATACACATTGTCAAGGTCGGCATAAATGTAAACACACACACACACACACACACACACACACACACACACACACACACACACACACACACACACACACACACACACACACACACACACACACACACACACACACACACACCACACACACACACACACACACCACACACACACACACACACACACACACACGCACACACACACGCACACGCACACACACACACACACACACACACACACACACACACACCCACACACACACACCACACACACACACACACACACACACACACACACACACACACACACACACACACACACACACACACACACACACACACACACACACACACACCACAGCCGCACTTCTCAGTCAAAAAGCCAGAGTCTTAAAGCAGCCAAAAAGGCACGCTGCGATGGAGCGTGATGACTGCCGGGGGTCGGCAGTTCCATGCGGCGGCCGCTCAGTGCGGGAACCGCCGCTGAGTGGCGGCCAGTCTGACACGTTCTAGGTGCAGCGACCTGTCACCCCGGGCCGTGGCTCGGGTATGGCGCTGGGAGGCCTCCGCACGCGCCCAGAAGAGCGAACGCAGAGCGGCGGGCACCCCGCTGACGTGCAATGCACGGCACGCATTGACACAGTCACGTCGGCGCGCCATCTCCGCCACGCTGCACCATCCCAGCGTTTCCAATGCGGGCGTGATGTGGTCGAAACGGCGGATGCCAGTCGCTCAGCCCAGCGGCGAAGTGGATCACCTGGATCACCTGGACCTGGACCTGGATCACCTTTAGGACCTGGATCAGATGGCGGTCGGCAGCGCCTCCCAACACGGGCGAACAGCCCTGTATGTGTGGGAAGACGTGCGCACGAACGAGAGGCGCCAAAACATCGGGGTTGAGGTGGTGCCCAACCTTGAATGACGACATGAGTTTGGCGTTGCAACACCGCACGACCGCGGCTATGTGGGCCTCCCATGTCTGGTGTTGGTGGAGGAGTACTCTCAGTGCCCGTATTGCTGTTGAGGGGTAAATATTTAAGCCAGAAATGTTTATGTGAAAGCTGCTGATTTCTCATGCAAATTTGTGCCGATCAGAGTGATTTTGGTGTTCTCGAGGTTCTTTTTTAGACTGATTGAAACGAAACTTGGAGGCACTGTATGGACTTCCCGACGCGGGAATCGAAGTGGGAAAGGCCGATGACGTCGGGTGTGAAACTACAAAAAGCTGGGTGTCATCGGCGCAGGCGGCCATGGTGAGGAAGCTGGAGAGGTCGTTGATAAAAAGGAGGAACAGGATTGGCCCGCCCAAGGATCCCTGAGCTACATCGTGTGACAGCGGTAGCGGCTCGGATTCTCCCACCACCTGCTTCCGACCGTGCAGATAGCTGCGAAACCATCCGGAGGCTACACCACAGGAGGCTACCATCCGGAGGCTACACCAGAGCGAAACCATCCGGAGGCTACATCGCCTTCTCAGGAGAGCGCCACGGTCGACGCTGTCGCGGGCCTTGCCGAGATTGATCGTCGTGAGCGACGCGACATGCCCGCTATCGACGGCCGTTGCGTACCATACGATAGCGTCGAGCACGGCGTCCTCGGCAGATGACGCGGTTGGCACGCGTACTGTGACGGCCAAAGCAAGTAGTTATCGAGCAGATATGCGGTGTGTTGAGCACAGACGACTCTTTCAGTAATTTTTGATAGCACAAAGAGGAGCGAGATTGACCGAAATGTGTTAAGACCTGCTGTGTCACCTGCCTTGAACACGAGAGTGACACGAGCGAGTTTCCAGACGTCGGGAGAAGTACATGAGACGATGGAACAGCTGATCACCTAAACTCGGTGCGAAACGATGACTGGGCCACACTTTCTGACAGCCAGCAGAGGGGCACCATCGACGCCGACAGCTCTGGACGTGCTCGGCCGGCCGGTGGCGGCAGACAGCTCGAGCTAAGTTACCGGGCGCAGCTCAGGGCGGAGGCGCAGACGCGGTACGGTCGCGGGTCGGCCGAGGGCTGAGCGGCATCGTCGTGCGCCGCTGCGGCCTCCGCCGCTATTCGGGGGCCCACAGCGACGAAGTGGGCCTTCAAGGCGTCGAGTGAAAACGTGCTCCCCATTCCGACCCTCCGCATCCATAGAAAATTATGGTACCAGATGCTTTGGATGCTGCAAAAATAGCACCTTTTTACCAGGAAATAGATGCTATTTTGTAATCACGACAGGGCACCTATATTGGGCGATGGCACCTATTGCTCAAAAACAGATACCAATCGGTTCAGGACGTTAAGTGATGCCAGAAATCGTTCCGCAGCCGCTGTATCAGGCTCGTGTTATGCACTGTCAAATGGTGATATGCCCGAGCCCCTGAGCTGCAGAGTCCTGTTGATACTTGGCCAACAAATGCCGACGAATAACGCCACAGGTTGATCAGACATCAGCCAGGCCCGACCTGGGCCGTGGGCTTCGACCCGTAGAGCGCCTAGCCCGGCCACTTTATTAACATCGCCTGACGACTGGCCTCGCGCCCGGTTCTCCACATATGTGTATGTATGTATATATATCTATATATCTATATATATATATATATATATATATATATATATATATATATATATATATATATATATATATAAACATATCTGTGTACATATATGTTTACACATGTAAATACATATCATTTTATATATTT